TGGTTTGGCTCCTTCCCCAGGTGTCTGCTTGTGACTATGAGCATCCCTATTTTACAATTCTATAAATAGATTATGGTCTCAGTGTTAAGTGAAAGTCTGCAATTTAGATGGTTAGAGATAGGGAGCAGTGGTAAACTGAACTTTGTCAAAACTCAGTGAGATTCTCTGCATCTGCCTCCAAAATATTTTTGAGCTTTTTCTTGGAGGAGGGTCCAGTTTCAGGAAAGAAAAGCTATTTCTCAGGGTCAGGGTGAAGTGGGATGCAATACCCCAAGCAAGGACTATCATCATGGGCCTTTGTGAGCCTTAAGTCCAGGCTCCCTTGCCCACCATCAGCAAGGTACAGACCTGCCTTTCCTGGACACTTGTGAACAGCATGGCCTCAGGAGCCCACCCAGACCAGGGATGTCCTTCTTCAGCACAGGGGTTGTGTTCCTCCTGGTAGGGATCAGAGGCAAGGGTAGGAAACCAAAAGGGATGCTAAAGACACCAGAGGACACAGAGAACAATTACCACAGCAAAGACCAGGCAGCAAATTCCCCATCCCCAAGCAGTCCCTGAAAACCACAGTGAGATTAGGTCTGCCTTACCCTCTGCCAAAAAGGTGGCCAGGCACTGCCTCGCATCAATCTGAATGAGATCAGCTTTCTGGTCCTGTTAAGCTTCATCAACTGGCCTATACTGCATTATTTAAAACCATCTTTTATTAATCTACCACAACTTTTTTCACTTGACCTCTAGCAAGTCACTTAACCACTCCGAATGGATTGCACTGCCTTCATCCCCACACGATGCTGGCAGTGGTGAGAGGGACAAGCCACAACTCTGTTACTGCTTCTGAAATATTCTAGATGCCAATAGACTAGAATGATCTGTCTGACAATGAGAGCGCTGGATTTACCCTCACTCTTAATGGGAGGTCTTGTCTAAACATACAGGTCATACTGCTGGGTAATGACAATACTTGTATTTAGAAAACTGCTGCTAGGATATTGTACATACTTTTAAAACAAGCTTACTGTCCCCAAAACCAAGCAAACACTGGCTAAAATATCACCAGTGCCAGCACAAGGGCCCAACATGAGCACTAAAAAATTGGGAACTTAAGGGAATGTATCCCCAGCTTGGAACCCTTCCAGTGTCCATCATTTCCCATCGTAGCCCCCTGGATATGTGACTGGGGTTGCCCACAGTACCACGCTGCCAAGACAGAAGACTCCAGGTGCCCCAGACACAGTGCAAGCTGTTCTGAAACCCTCCCTGTACTGAGGGAGGTGGCAGAAAGCCTGTGCATGGAAGCCAGGACAGTGATCTGTGCCCAGCCAGAAGCAGAGGTGCCAGGAGAGCAGAGTTTATGGCCTTGGGGTTCAGGCAGCACTGGGACTAAGTTTTGAGGATCTGCTTTTGAGACACAGGCACCTAAATTACGTTTATGTCATCAAAATTCCCTCTACACGCATGCAGGATCACAAAACCGCAGCTGAGAAGGAGTTTGGGAAATAATCTAATTCATTGTCTTGCACCAGCAGATAAGCCCTAAATCTTTGCTAACCCACCTTCTGCATGAGTGCTGGGCTTCAAGATGAAAGACTTCAGCAGGGCTTCATCAATTTGTTCCTGCTGAGGAAGTAGCCTCAGCCATTCAAAGTCCTCTTAAGAACTCACACAACTTTCACAACTTTCACTGGCACATCCCAATATTTTTATTCCTCGGTCCCCTTTTGAACACCCATATGTGTTGACCACTTGCTGCGGCATGCAAGATCTTCACAGCAGCAATGTTTCTCTCTGATGTGTGAGGGTACTACCCATGCTTTAACTTCCACAAAAAGTTCTAAATAATTCAACTAAGTAATCTTGTGCTAACAAATGAAACTGTATCTAGTCCTGCAGGAACAGAGTGGATTTATTTGTCACTCTACGTTATAAAGCAACATCAGGTTATTATAGATAAAGCATGACACTGTAAAATTGATCAGATACCTGAATTTGGTTTATAAATACAATAATTCCTCTCTCTTCTATAGGGAACTGTATCAAACCCTGCCAGCAGGAAGGCAGGCAGGGACTGCAGCTCCAAGCAATCTTTGGTTGGACCAAACCAAGGGTCATTTTTTCAATCTCCACTCACTGGCAGGAGGATATTGACAGCAAGACTATTTCTAGTTAAGTATCTACTGCCAGGGCCCAGCTGCTGATTTCTGAGAGCTACATAGAGAGCCTTGGGCAGGAGAATTGGGTGACAAAGGCAGAAAGCAAGGACTTAATCCTTCCAAAGGTGATAAACCCTTTATAAAACAAGTCAAGCCCTATCCAGGGAAGAGTTGTAGGGGACCACAGAGGGGGAGGCAAAGCTCATTTTAATAGCAAAATAACAGACAATAAAGAGTCCAACCATCACAAACTGACCAGTATGACAAATGGTAGGGCAGCAGCAAGTGGTCCATGACTAATTTGCAAGACTGTACTTGAAGTTCATAATGAAAATCCAGATATTCTGGCTTATCTGGTATTTAAAAGTCGTGGCACTTAGGGACATGGTCTAGTGGTGGACTTGGCAGTGCTGGGTTAATGGTTGGACTTGATGATCTTACAGATTTTTCCCAATTTAAATGGTTCTAGGACCCCAATAGAATCTCAGCAAACCAGACTCACCTGCCAGCAGGACTTGGAAACAGTGGTCTTACTCCATTTCTGGTGAGGGTACACAGGAGCACCAGCCTGCACAACTGGGGAATTAGCTGCCCTCCTTCAGATAAGATGCCATTTTTCCACATGTTTTCCTCTTCAGGAGGTAAGATGTAATTATTTTGTATGAAGCATTGCTGTTTGCTGCCCAGTTTGTTTTTAGCTGCCCACTGCACTGAGAAATGAGAAGCATGAGAGAAAACCCTTCCCCACAAAGCCTCTTTCCCCACTGAAGATGAATGTGGCAGAAGAGCAGGGGTGATACTGAAGTGGTATCTGAAGTCCAAGTAGATGGAATAATAGTAGATGAATTAGCCCAGAGGAAGGAGGACCGGGTTCACACACAGGCTGACAAAGACATAGATCCAAGAGAAATTTAATTCCTATCCACAGATGATGCTTCCGTGTAACTCTGATCTTTGAACACTCCCTGATATTCAGAAGATGTTCTAGCTTTACTGCCCACATAAACATCCACTGGGGCTGCTATCTGGGGGGAAGAGGGAACTAAATATTTAATTTCAGTCTATTTCATCAAATATTTAATCTATTTAATATTAATTAAATCTTGATCTGAATAAACAACAGCTAAAAATTCACCTCTTCCTCGAAACATCTGATAACTTGAACATGTCAGTCTATGCAATCCCAAGTGATATGGCAATTAATAAGAGGGGTGGGTCCTATCTTTATATTGTCAGTTACTGGAATTGCTGTGGTGGATTTTTTCCTCATGTAGCATTTCAGGCTGGATCTCTTTGCAGCTGGGTGTGCAGTGGCATCATCCAGTTTACACCAACCTTTTCCACACCCTGTTTCACTCTATCTCATTTTCCATGGACTTCATTTGTAGCCCCACAAGTATGTGCCCTTCTCCCACTCCCAGATATGGTTGCATCCTCAGCAGTCAGAATCCATGAAGATAAAGTGATGAAAAAAGCTACTGGGCTTAGGGCAAATAAAACCCAGGCCTCTCACAGATGGATGTGGATGGTGTGAATCATTTCCCAGTGCCTTGACCACCCTCCTGACACAATTGCACATCTCACACATCACTCAGAAGAATGGCCAGGAACAGGCATTTCTGGGAACAATAAGCAACAACTAAAACAGGAGCAGATAATTTCCGATGCAAAGGATTTAAGCCAATAACACTGGGCTTTAAAGGTGGTTGCCACCATTGTATCTGTTGCTACAACCATCTTATTCTACTACAGGAAACCCTATTTGGACCAAACCCCACTCATACCAGCCAGAACACATTCTCTAATTAGGCTCTGTAGAGCCAACAGTCATGAAAGATTGCCTTGCATCCAACACTGCTTACCTTGCTCTGCTCAGTGCGTGCCCAACTCAGCAGAGCAGCACTTAGCTTTTCTTTTCCTCCCTGCTGCACCATTTCAGAGCCATCTCACCCAAACACTGACTGGTGTCGATGAAAGTAATTATACTGCTGTTCAAAATGTATCGGATGTACCTTCATTATCCTGAGACAGCAACCGCCAAAGGCTCTACAATGGTAAATCTTTCAAAGTAAGCAAGTCAGGTGATTCCATTTCAACTGGCTGTTTTAACTCTTCTGGTCCCACTAAATTTTGAGGCTGGTTTAAAGCCTTGAGATGTTTTGGAAGTAACAAATGTAGGATTATTTTCAACTAACATCTCTGAAGTTTAAATCTTTGGGTTGTGCTTAGGTTACAGGTCAAGCCCGTAACCAAGAGAAACGAGGAGACTCCACTCTCACTTGGTGGACTGGAGTCATGTCGCTGCTCTGTATTTTGAGTACCTCCTGGGGAAAAGTGATCATTCTAGTGATGCACTTGTAGCCCCCTGTAGAAGTGTGCCCTGTCTGGGTGACAGCACAGCAGAGAGGAAGAACATGGAGGGCTGTGTTTGTGACAGAAAGGCTGCACAGCACCAGGCACAGCCATGCCTGGAAGCTCATTCTGGCAAACCTTATTCAAAGAGCCATTTCAAGTCAAATATCTGCATTGCAAAACCAAGAACAAACTCAGCTTTACACAGAGAGGACTTATCACTAGATTACCCCCAGGGATCATGACTGCAGGAATAATTGCTGGGAAAGGGGAGGCTCCAGCAGGGTAGAAATCAGCATCCCAGCAGCCAAGCTGCCAGGTCTGCCACACATAAGACCCAGCTCTGCAGGGTTTGGTCTGCAAGAGGAATAGTTTGTCCAAATTTTCCTGGTGGCAAAAGTTATTCTGGTAATAAAAATCCAGGATTTCAGTCTTTTAAAAAGTTCAGTCGATTCAGAAAAGCAAAAGGTTGGATGCAGTGTCTTAAATATTTACCTACACATTTCTTTTTTACTCAGGGAATCTTTCAGTAACACCATAAGGTTTTCAATCTTCAGATGAAAGCTTTGCAGCAACTCCACATGCGCAGATGAAGACAAAGCAGCCTTCAGCAGGAATTATTTTATCAGAGATGTCCAGTGGTGAGAAGCTCATTCTTTTTTTTTTTTCTGTGGAGACCAATTGAAAAACAAACAGGAAAAAGGCCATAAAGTCACGGTCCAGCAAAACACAACTGTTTCAATCAGCAAAGGAGCAATCAATTCCTCCATGTAGCAGCAGATTTAAAATAAATGTTTCTCATGTCTGAGAGTGAACCCTGCAGCAGGTCACACAGCTCTGGAGGACCTCAAGGCTGCTCCTTCAAGTGCAATGCCCTAGGCTGTGCCCAAACCAATATGGGCCTAATGCTGCAGGCATTGCATGCAGGAAAGCAGGGATGCTCACATCAGCTCATCTCACCTCCTGACAAAACCTATTCACCCCATTACTCTCACACAGACCCAGTTGCTGGTTCTGACTCAAGCACGTTTTTGAAAGCCATCCAGACGTCCCGCTGCAGTGCATGGCTGACAGGAAACACATGTCAGTGGAATTTCTCCATTAGCGCAAAAGGCACCGCTGGCCCCAGGAAATCCCAGAGTGCCTAATGACCCCCAAACCTCCTGGGGAGGGTTCTTTCTCTTCACTATTCCCTAAAATCTGCTACAGGCCACTCTCAGAGCCACAGAAGGAGAGCAGGACCTCAGATACAAGCCAGCATATATGCTCTCTCCTAACTCAGTCAATACAGAGTTGACAATCATGCTAACAGACTAACCTAGAGCCAGCTTAAGCAGTTTTAAACCAGTTTAAGCCAGCAAGTTTACACCTTTGCTGATGACACCTATGCTCAAGCAAGGGAGATGCCTTCCTGCTCCCTGTTATGGTTAGTTCTCATGTGTCTCTGTTGGATTTGGGTGCTGAGACCCATCTAACATCCCTATACACCTGGATATGAGATGTTGTCCTCAAACACTGGTGGTCCTCCTTGGGAAATGAATTCTCCTAGGGGATAACTTAAATGGCCAAGAAAGTCCCTCAAGAAGGAAGGATGTTGAATGACCAGCTCAAGCATCAGCACCTCCAAGACCTCCCAACATCTCCTGTCCCACAACAGCAGGTATCCTCCTCCTCCGCTTGCATCAAACCTCCCTCCAGGGACCAGCCATGGTCTGACCCAAAGAAGACATTTTTTGGTACCCCCCCCAGCCCTGTTCACTACCCCCTCCGCTCAGCCTTGATAACATTTGGGAGTGTGCTGTGACCTTGTGCAGCACTACTGCAGCGTGACCCCCAACTGGAACTTCACCTGGACTTCCCAGGGCTCAGACTAAAACCCTTTCTGTACACAGAGCAGTTGGAATCTGGTTCTGGAGCATTTGTGAGCTGAGTGAGTACTAGTGGCTAATGCAGGGGGTGGGCTGACACTAACCCTGCTCTCTCTTCATTTCTACAGCTTGGGATAAGGTACAGCAGACACAGCTACAAGCATTTCACAAGTCACAGAGGTGTTCCTACAAACCAGCTGCAAAGAGTAGTTCATGATAGAGGTGGTGAGAGGTCCAAGTGGAGCTCCAAGTGGAGCTGTCTGCAGGGCACTGGCTGTAATAAAGGAGCAATCTCGACAGACTTTGAACTTTTCCAGTGGTGAAAGAACAGGGAATGTTAAGAAATAAGACAAAGAGCTTACACTGATAAAAGCCACATGGGCAGCGGGGCCAGCCACCCAACCCAGAGGGAAGCAAACCCTGGAGAAGCAGATGCAGGGTGGGACTTATGGCACGGGAGGGCTGATGGACACAGACTGAAATCCACAGAGGCTCCTCCAGGTCTGGGAAACTCATTTTGTGGAAGCAGAATGATTCAGGCCAAGTCCCTCCCTTGCTGGAACATTTTGGAGAGGCTCCTCTATGTGACCAGCTCCTTGCTCCCCAGAGAACAAGAACCAAAACCCCACAGAAACAAATGCATATATCAGTAGGCTCAGGGGGTCAGGGACAAGCCCTGGGCAGGCAGCCACAGGTCTCTGCAAGGGCAACCCTCCTGCTCTTGCAGCTCACCCCTGGGGACATTTTAGGACACTTGCCCCACATACCAACTCGCACTGAACTCCTCCTGCATGTCCTTTGTCTGGCACCTTTGCGTTCTCCTCGGGGGTCCCCACACAAGGGGTGGAATGCAGGGTCACCCCACACAGGGGAGTGGTGGAGAAATGCTCTGCAGGGCAAAGCTGGCATCTCTGCCCGCTGTTTGCTGTGCCAGCCTGGACGGCTTCACCCAGTGGGGGAGGCAGGTGCCTCTCCCCACCCTCACACCATTAACCTTTCAGCCCCAAAATAAAAGGTTATAAAAAAACAATCAAAGTTCATTACATCCCTTAATGTGTCATTTGCAAGGGAATGAGCTGGGAGTGATAAGGCAACTTTCTCCTGCGTGGGAGGGAGTTAGGAGAGGAAAGGGGAAGAACTGAGCATCTGGACCTGGCAAGGGTGATAGGGCTCAGCCCCACAATGAGACAGGGCAGGCATGGGGGTGAGCAGAGCCAAAGGGAGCATCCCAGAGAAGCCCACAACCACATGATCACTGGCTCAGCAGCAGCAGGACTGGACCTCACCTACCAAAGGGAAAGTGACAGTGGTTTCACACCAACACTTCCACCACACAGCCCACGGTGCCTTAGGGCCACTGAGACTTGGATGTGCCCATCCCCAGCAGGTGTAGAGAGTCCAGGACACAGCTGAAACCAAAATGATCATCAGCTCAGGGGAAATGAAATAGAAGCCTTAGTCAGAAGACAGCAAAGGCAGTAGGAGATGGGAAGTTCAGACATTAGTCACAAGGGCAGGCAGGCAGCTCTGCCCTGTCAGATGCAGGGAGATGCTACACCGCACAAAAGGGCCCAGTGAGAATTTCATTTGACTGGGCTGAACCATGAAGGCATGAGGCTGTGGGAGGACTACAGCTCTGGAGGCATTATTTCAGGAGTTTGCACCTTACTCTTCCTTTTGATGGAAAATCAGGAGCAATTAGACATTTCAGCTGTGTAAAGCTTCACCAACTGAAAGCCCAGCAAAGCCCCAATCTCCCAGCCCCAAACCCAACAAAGTACTCTATTGTCCATACTAGAGATTTGGCTGCAGAGACATCAGACAGCCAGAGGGATGGGGCAAGTATAATAAATGGCTGCTGGATCACCTCCTGTCCCAGGCACTGACCCGGTGTCTCCCACAGGGTCTGCTTTGTAAAACCCTCCAAGGCCAGAGAGAGGAAGGAGGACACTCTACTGGAATCAAGCTCCCCTGGCCTGCAAAGGCCACCATGAGATGAGTAAGATGTTCCTCTCTGGGCCACCATTAGGTGCCCTACTCCCAGCAGTGATGCCTCCTGCCAGCCCTGGACCCCTCCCAGATTGCTGAGCACCTCCAAATGCAACTCCAGTGGCACTTGCAGAGTGGGGCTGCGAGACCAGCAGCTCCAGCATGGGGCCCTGGTCACTCATTTCCTCACCAAATAAGAAGCATACCAGGGAAACAGGATGACTTCAAGTAACCCAACAGTGGGAAGAGCAGGTGCCAGAGCTCCCAGACAGTTACATGTGCTGCTGGGCAAAACAAAGCCCACACTAAAGCATTCACAGGATTGACACCTTTAGCGTTCCCCACCTTTGGAGTTACCTGGCACTTGTGGCAAAGCCGAAGCTGACGGTGAGCAGACCTTGGCATCCTCAGGGAGGCAGGTAGCCTCAGAGAAGCAGTTCCACGTTTGGTGGGAGAACAATCCCTCATCACCTCCTGCAGGGAGGGTCTTGGCAGCCCTGGTGTAAGGGCAAGAGAGCCTGGCTGGCTGACTCTTGCGAGCTGGAAACAAAGCCCCACTCAGATAGACACTCCTGCATACATCAAGAAATGTTTCCTTCCAGCCTAATCATTTCTAATCCCATCTGCAACCTAATTATTAAAAACCTTCACAACTCAAGAGCTGTAAACACTGTGCCAGGCAGGCATCCCCAGCAGTAGTGCCAGGCTGCATTTCCAGGAAGCAAATCACACCCTCAAACCTTGAGCCTTTTTCTTTAAGAAACACGTGAATGCTCTCACTGTGGCACAAAGGAGGAGTGGAAGTACCGAAAAAATATTAAGGACTCATTTGTTATTATGTCACTGCACAATGAACGGAGCCATTGTTCCCTACCTGGGCTAACAATGCCTTTCAGAAAACACAAAGCACTTTTCCCCCCTGTCCTTTAAAAAATGTCAAGACCAAGGCTGCTGGAGGAACAGTGAGCAGTTCAGAAAATAAAATACAATAAAATAAAGCAGCTAACAGATTGTTCAGAGGGTTTTCACACTTGATCTGTAAATGCTCTTTTATTTAATAAAAATAATCATCCATTATAGCAACTTCTGCTTGTGGTTTGGTTGGGTGTTTTTTTTTTTTACATTAAAGCACAGTTTATTTGCTTTCCTCATCTCTTGAGGATTCAGTTCTGAAAATGCAAGTGAATGTAAACATTGCTTTCCAGGTCCCAAGATGCATCTGAGGACCCTTGGAGTTAATTACAAAGTCAAAAGAGAGAGCAAAATCAACAGAACACTTCTCAAAAGTAAAAAGGTATTTTTAAAGTCTCTTCCATACGACTCCAGAGAAGGCAAATTCATCTTATACATGAAACTTCCACAAACTTTGCTTTCTCCAAACAATTGCTATGACTTGTCAGTATTTGATAAAGCTGTTTTTATAACATTAAAAGACTTGCAGACTCATTTATTTTTAGAAATAAAAAGTTTTTCCTATAAATGTTCTCCAGAAATTTATTCATGGCACAAGGATGTTAGATTTGTTCTGTCCACTTTTGGTTTGTTTTTGGTTTGGGGTTTTTTTGTTGCTGTTTGGGTTTTTTTAGCAGAAAAAGCTGAAAGCCATTTCAGGAAAGAGTGTAAAAGCAGTATTAACTCTCTCTCCTGCTGCAATCTCACAATATTTACACATATATTTTAAAAAAAAAAAAAAAGCTTAATTACACTATAAAATACTGGAAAAAATGTCAGTTAGGTTTCCCACTTCAGAGTTTTGCCCTGTATAAGACTGAAAGAGGGATGCCTTAATAT